CCACTTGTAAATTGTCAGGGGGCAATAATTCCAAAATAGTAGTGAGATTATATTAATCAGTGGGTGATAATCCAACCGTATCTGCAATTGTGATTCTGGTGTACAATATCTTATTTAAAAATACAAGAAAAAATTAAACACACTTTACATATATATATATATATATATATATATATATATATATATATATATTTATTTTAAGTCAAATTTCAAGTGAGCAGTGACCAACCTTAACTCCCAGTTTCATCAGGCTGTCAGTAACAGTAGATTTTAAAAATAGGAAATCTTATACCACCAGGAAAATCCAGGATGGTAAGCCCCCCAAGATCACCAGGCTGTATGTATGTATGGGCAAATAGTTGTGGTTCAGCAGATGATCCCTTTATGAGGACAATGTTGAGATACAATTCCTGAGTATGAGATTGGTGAAGACTGCAGTTGCCATTAAAGTCTGAGTTGGGATGACAGCCAGGACACATGATCTCATCAAAAATTTTTGTTCCACTAATATTATAGCAAGCTCATCAACAGATTCTGTTAGAAATGCCATGTGTGCAGCTATCCAGTTACCTGGAAGGCGGGGGGAGGGGCAACTGATGTGGACAATGCTCCCGCACGTGCATGATAAACAAAAACAACTGATGAAGAAGGGGAAGAAGAAAGATACATACTGAGGGATAGATATATTTTCTTTTTCCAAATCGATAAGGGTCTGAATGTGTTCATCAATATACTTGCATATTTATGCAATTATTTATTTAAATATATGGCTTAACAGTCATAAAAAAGCAAATAGCTTTCATTTTGATAATATATATGTGGCACTTTCTCCTATGCCTGCTTTCAACTTGGTCAATATTTCTGCGTGTCTAAGACACTGCCTGTAATAACCAATTCATCTAAAGAAAAAAATCTATCAATCAATTTAATCAATTTATATTTCCTTATTTCTTTCTTTCATTTTATACAAGCATCCATCAATACACTTATGCTATGCAGACTTATTTGTCATTTATGTCCAAGATGATTAAAGTGAAGAAAACTTAACAAGTCAGAGCAATACTTGCAAAAGAAGTGATTTTGCAGTGGCTGGGGGTCAAAGGAAACAAAAGACAATATTAAAGAATAATAAATGCTATAACTTTCTTATTCTATGTGCCATGTCTTGAAGGATCATGACTTGTCATGGCTCTCCACAACTTCCTATCCTTTGTAACTCTAAGTAATGTTTATAATTTTACTATTCTTCCCACACCCTGTTCTGATATTCATTTCCACTAGCTCGTTAAATGCTTGCTTCTTGCCTCTGTTGCTCTTGCCTACAACAATATAGATGTACAGGTTTTATGGATTGTGGCTCAGAATTAGAACTTGGAGGTCCAAGTTTGAATTCCAGTTGATTTTGTTACATTCACTTACATGCAAATACCCTTGAGAAAGGGTTGGAATTAATTTCCCTCTTGGCTATAGATTAAATAGTATGATGTGTACGTGAAAAAAATAATTGTTATTCTCATAAAAATTGTTACTGCAATATTCACTCACAAAAAAAAAGAGTTATTCTTACACTCCAAAATATGTTTCAGCTTTAAGTAACCTATAATCAGTTGTTAAATATATAAGTATGTTTTATCATGAGCCATTACAAGTGTTGTATTATGGCTTTAGTTTCAAGATGAAATAAAGATAAAAACTGTACATTTGGATATTTATTTATTATATTGGTCTTGATCTAAGCTTTCAGGCCACATGAGCCATCATCAGAGTGGTTATATGGACATAACTATAGAGATGTGTGCTGTCAAAGATGACATCCTGTTTTATTTACATAGAAGTTTCCTATGCGACAATAACAGTTGCAGAATAGCAGACACAGCTGATACATTCATAATGTTGTTCTATGACATCCTACATGACCATGTGAGAGAAAGAAATATGTTTAAATGCATTGTAATATATTGTGACTGGTTTGAAATGTAATTTTGTTGAGTGTGGGTTGCTCTGTTTTAATGTAGATGGCCTCCAATTTACTGTGTGTATGTGTGAGTATTGTTGTGTTATCAACTAATATCTATCTAATATTATGTACATGGCTATGTTTTTCTAAATATATATATATATATATATATATGGTCATGTTGCAAGGATGATTGATGACAGAATACCTAAGGTCCTCATGTATAACCAGCTTGATAATGGACAAATGACTGTTGGATGATTGTGGCTTAGGTATAAAGTTAAGCTTAAAAGTAACCTCTCAGCTGTCAGTGTGCCTCATACTAACTTCAAGTGATTTGACCTGGACAGAAATAACTGGAGATATTTGTGCCAAAGTGATATCAGAAATTTTGAAATCACATGTATTGACCAGCTAAGAGATAAAAGACAACAGTGAAAAGTGTCAAAAAATATTCCTGCGGCTATGTCCCAAGATCCTCACTGTTGCACAATATGTGGACTTGCAAGCAGATCACTAACAGGACTGAAGTGTTACAAACAACACAAACATAAAAGCTGAATGACGTTGTCAGATCCTCATACGTCAAAATCAAAGGGAGAGTCCATCATCATCATCATCATCATCTATATGATAAATCAAGAATGAAAAAATAGTTTAATAAGGAAAAAATTATTCTATGGTACCTTTTTACCTTGGTGTCTTCAAAATATACTTTGTTTGTTTACTGTTTAACACTTCCGCTGCTAACTACGGAGATCTTCATTTTTCTTATCTTGCTCCAGCTGGCTAAGTACGGAAACCTATGTTTTTTTGCATACCGCTGGTATGAGATTCCCGTTGCGCCATCTATCGTAAAATCACAAAGGACAATGCTTCAAAAGATATCATGTGTATACCCATTACTGATCTGGTAAGTCATTCCCAGGTATATCCATGAAAGTGGAAGGCTGTAAAACACACTGGTGCCAGTTTTCTGTGTAATATAATATGTAGGTTGAAATTTGGCATTTTCTTTAAAAATGGCTGGCTGGATGGGGGGAGCACTGGGCAAATGAGTAGCAGTGAAAGTGTTAATCTGGGGTTGTTTTTACTAGTTTCCTGGTCAAGATTAAGGAGAGCAAGATTAAAAGACACTAGTAAAATTGGTTAATAGAGAAAGGATAAATGAAGCATATTGTACATTAAAAAATATTTTATGTTGTCCTGAAATCAATAATGGCAATAGGTTTTTTTTTTATAATCCCCTTGTTTGTTCAACATTAAAATGCATTCAATCAGAATTTTATGGTATTTTTATTGCAGCATTATCAAATATAGAAGATAAATATATAACATTTTTTTTTATTATTTCCATTAGTTAACTGTTTCTGATCTCTTACATTTCCTGGAAGTAGATTAAGTAGTTTTTATTTATTTATTGCACTACGGGATATGTAGTGAGAGTAACAGTTACCAGTCACTGGTTACAAGTCACTGGATTTAACCATCACTTTTATACACTGGGTCATGTGTCGTGAGTTCAATACCTTGCTACTCCAGTGGTGAGCAAAAACTTGGAGAGTGGAGGTAAAGGGAGATAACTGAGACATCCAAACAAGGCCTGGCACGTGGAACTAGAACACTCTACCCCAGTTGGCAAAATAAAGGGTTTAGTTTGAAATTCCAATCACATGAAGAAAGCTGAAGTGCACAACGGCCAAAACATCATGAATATGGCAATAAAGATAAGGATAACAGTCTGAACAATGTAAATAATGTAAACACACACACACACACACACACACATCTATATATATATATATATATATATATATATATATGTTAGTTGAATATTCACCTAATAAATGGTGCAAGAGCCACTTAAAGTAGAGGGTTACTGAATAACATTGCTTTATAGATATAAGAGGGGGAGTTAAAATGTGTGCATTATGAGGATATGTAGGATAGATAATGGATGACTTTAGACTTGGAGAGGTGAAGATTGTAGTGATCAGCGAGGCATCCTGTCAGGAGTCTGTCGCACAAGGCAACGGCTCTTGAGAAGAAGAAATCTGAATGACACTTCTTCCTTACCAGCTAAATATGAAGGGAATGAGAATGGTTCAACCCTGTGTAAATGGTACAGTGGCTTTTAGCTGTAAAGGACTGAACTAGTGGAAATCAGGAGGTGGTTAGAACATTTTCCATAGAAACAGTGATAGAACAGCAACAGACTTGTGACATTTCATCTGTGAGTAAGGTGCTGGATGGTGAAAAATAATTCATCACTCGTGCGCTTTTGAACTCTGTCAAGGCTGGAAAGAGAGTATTCGACATCACCATATCTATCCCAGGGCATCAATACTCTGATTAATTGATGGTAATTATTTTTATGGTTTATCAACCAAATTTGTCAGGTAGTTAAAGTCAAAACATATTTTGGTTTGTAAGAATAAGTCTTTTCTTTTTGCAAGTGATTATTACATTAACAATTTTTTTGAGATAATTATTTTTCCAGATATAAGTCTTAAATATTTGATGAATTCATACCTTCCCCAAGAGTATTTGTGCGTAGGTGAATATAACAAAATCGACTTGAATTTGAACTCAGCTCTCCAATTTCTCATTCTGAGCCATTATCTATTACACCACCTACAGTACACAATCTTTGGTCTGATCTGGCTCTAGTAAATGGAGTTAAACTTAAGCTAAAAGCTAAAACAGATAGGAAGTTATTAAATGCCCTGATAAGTAGGATTTTTTGGAGTTTTCTTTCTGCATCTGTCATCAACACTGTGTCATCAAAAATTGTACCTACATATACTAAATCCTGGTAGGATCTCCAACTTGCTTGCTATTGAGGTTGAATAAATCTGGTGAGAAGACCTATCCTTGTCTTATATTCCTATATGTTTTTGTGTAGTTAATTTTCTATCCATATGCAGGCAGTTTGTTCCCAGTATAAGTTCTGTATTATTCTAACATCTTTCTCAAATAGAAGTGGAAGTGTCCATGATAAAATGTCTTTGCATCACTTTCTATATCACATAGGATTAAGGACATGACTTTTCTTTACAAATCAAGAGAGTATGTTTCAATTGTTTATGACTCGAGTCAATATTTACTAACCTTAATTTAGACTAGCACAAGATCACTGATTGAAAAAAAAAAAACAATCATTCAAATTTTATCAGTCACATTTTTAGTCAGTGTTCTGAATCTATTTCTAATTCTCTTGTATCATTTTAATCCCACCTGCTGTCACTGTGACTTTCTTTCATACAGTCTAATCTTAGAAGTTTCCAATGCTTTGTTAATTCTAGTCTTTCTTTTCTTGTATTTACCAATATAAACTCAATCCTGATACAGTCTTCTTTTTCCTCATTGTTTCTAATAGTGTTCACCCAATACAAGGCCAAAGAGCCACTCATGGTAGAGGATTACTGAATGAGGAGTCTGATATGAACATAAGGGGAGAAAGTGAAGGATAGGAATGACAGAATTGAGGAGGTTAAGATATTTATGGAAGCATCCACACAGGAGCCTATTCCACAATGTTGTTGTTTTTGGGAAGAAAGCTTCTGAGAGAAACATCTTTCTTGTTAATGGAATACATAGGGAATGAAAATGATGCAACCCTAGGGGACATAGTAAGGGGGGGCGCCTTGGCTGTAAAAGTCTGAACTGGATAGAGCTCAGCTGAACATTTGCAATGGAAGTAGGAATAGAATAGCATCGCTTGCATTGCTGTGACGGGAGGAGAGGTTGCAAGGTGGAAATTATGTCATCCACCACAAGGCCATCTAAATGATTTTGGAGTCATTTTTTGCAAAGTCTGTTTGGTTTACTGATGTAAGCTCTGTTAGGATATCAAAGATGAGCTGTAATATTTTGGGATTATGTCCTGATTAAGTTTTTCTCTTTTTCCAACTTTATTTAATATTCTAAAGATAAATTCAGGTTCTCTTTAGTCGTTTTGCATAAGAAGATAAGTCAATCTAGGCGATCATGGCTCTCTACGCCTTCTTTTCCTTTATTATACATAAATAGTATGGATTTTTTAAGAAAATTAAACCATTATTTTTTTAAAAGATTAAACCATTGTTTTAATTAAAGTATTACTTTTAAAAGATTAAACCATTACATTTTTAAATTAAATTTTGAAGCAAATCAAATCATTAAACTTTTTAAAATATTAGATTTTTTTAAACATAAAGCAAACCATTATTTTTTTAAAGTTTTGAACAGATTAGATTTTTTAAAGAAAAATCTATTAGACTTTTAAGAAAAGCAGACAATAATTTCTTAAAAGGTTAGATTTTTTTAAAGAAAATCAATCTATTAGATTTTTAAAAGAAAAGCTATTACTTTTTAAATAACGGGAATTATTATTGTTAAAGATTAATTATTATTTTTAAATTAGACAGCCATTAGATTAAAAGAAATGTAAAATATTATTGTTTTTGAAAACGAAAACCATTATTTTTTAAAAGTAACACAAAGCATTACTTTTTAAAGAAAAGAAACCATCACATTTTTAATTAAGTATGTCTTGTGACAAGTATCCAGTTTAATAAATGATGAAGCATTTGTAACTTTATATCTTTGTCAAGCAATCTAACCATACATCACAATTTGGGTGCATCTTTTCTTAATCAAGAAAATTTAAAAGAAACAGAATATGTAAACAAGGCAAAAGCACATTTATTTCTAAAAAATTTGATATATGAATATTTCATTTTTAAAACAAAATGTTATTTGTTTAATGCTTACATAAATATATTTATAGAAAAATATACAGTCTTTTTTTCACTGCTTAGATAGATAGCTGATGTCGATAAAAATTAAATTGTACATATTGGTCAGTGCTTTGCACTTTCATACATATATATATATATATAGATAGATAGATAGATAGAGAGAGAGAGAGAGAGAGAGGGAGAGGGAGGGTGCGATGGATAAATTGTCGTCTAAACTATGCAAAAATTAGAATAGCATGGACATCTCATTCTAACAGATATATTTACCAAAATTACACAAAAATATCTTGAAATAATAAAAAGTAAATTTATTTAATAAAATCGCCATTGGCTTCAACCACAACCATTGCACTAGAGAGAATGATCGGTGCTCGCACTGAAGCCAATGCAACTGTTGGTTGTGGGGGCTTGAACAATTTTTATTCCTAGCCTGGGTGTACACACTCAGGCTCCCCACATTAAACCGATCATGTTTCACAACCTGACCTGGAAAATTATACTGAGAGGTGCCTGGCCATAGGGAAGAGCCACACCCTCTCATTGCACTAGAGAGACGGATTGGTGCTCACACCTGGGGGAATTTTTGATCCTAGCCCAGATGTATGTGCTTCGGTCCCCACCTTGAAAACTGGACTTGTGTCACAACTTGACTTTGTGTGGGGTGGGAGGAGGTTGTCAAGTAAATACAAAATTATTATAAAGTAGAGCTGGGGCTTTTTAATCTCAGAATCTGTGGGAGAATTGAACTCCAATTTCACATTTATTCATATAAATTCCATAATATAGGTTTTACTTAATTAGATATTATGTTTCTCTAACTTTTCAAATGTTGAATGTATAACTAATTTTAATTTCTTTTTCTCCATCTTTACACTATATTAATTTTATCTTATAAATTGTCCCCTGTTCTGTCAACCATGAAATAAAAATAATTGTTTGTAAGGAAAATAAGGATCTACTTACATCAAATCATCTTTAAATTAAGTGGCAGCAAAAGAATTATTGTTGAACTTTTAAAAGGTAAGCTCAAACATTAATTGGATACTTAAATGAAGCAATCAATTTTGAGTTCTTCTGTAGTTTATTGATGCTTATCGCATCTATTCCTACTAGCTACTGTGATGAAGGCTAAACCAAGACTCCTCCACAGGAGCTAGCTTAAATGCCACCTAATAGGGCGGCTTTTAAACATGCACTGCAATTCTGGATACAAAGGAAAAATAAGAGTTACTCCGTTGAGCCAAGAAAGCAACAATAATGGCTAGTATAATATATTAATATATATTTTTAACCTCGCATCATCTGGCAATCCTGAATCTGAGCTTAACAAAAATTGTTCTCTGTACCTAACTTTTCTAGGGCTTTTGAATGAGCTATGAATCATTGAAATCGAACCAGTGGGAGTGGAGGAATTGCTTGGACACACACACACACACACACACACACACAAACATACATACATACACTGTAATTTATATATAAGATATAGATATATACTAATAATTCTTAGTACAGGTATTATAATAGTTATCAATAGGTTAAATTTGAAATCAGAGTTGAGTTCAAATTTTGATTGAGCACCATATTTTTTTGCACAAATCTACTTAGAATAGGCATGAATCTGTTAAAAAAAGCAATCCCTGAATTGAAATCTCTGTTGTTTGGTAAACATATCAAAACCTAGTAAAGCCTGTGGAAGTAAATCTAGAATTAATTTCCTGTGGTGGTTTGATGTAACCATTGAACTTCTGGTAAATCCTGGAGACAAACTGACCACAAACTTAATGCCCTGTATTCCTTTGGATCCTGTCAGTTTGGCAAAGAGTACATTCTATTATCTGGTGAACACAAGGCTTCTATACACCATAAGCCAGGCTTGCATCCTAGATTAGTCAGTCAAGTCTCAACATCTAGTGATCTTGACTGGCCTGACAATATCTCTTGAGATAGAAGGAAGCATATATATATATATATATATAGCAATGAAAAAGATATTAGGAAGCCAAAAATGCTAACAGTCAATGGGATACTGAGAAAAAAGACATTTAAGGCAAGCAGTCTTTGCTATAAAGGGCTCAATATCAAAGGTAGAGCATTAAAAGAATTAAAATAAGTAAAAGTTTGTTATTTTGCTGATTGATGTTACCTTCATCATCCTGACTCCAGAGTTTCATAGGGAGAGCTCTCCGTCCACTCTTCAGAGAGTATCAGCAATTTACTTATTAATAATTACTAATACTATTACTTATTACTAATAATTGCTGATACTCACCCAAACAGTGAAAGGACATGTCTACCTAAAGCCTATAAAACTCTTATTGAGATGATGAAGGTAACATCAATCAGCTAAGTGACAAACTTTTTACTCATATTAATCCCATATATATATATATATATATATATATATATATATATATATATATATATATATATATATATATATATATATATATATATATATATATATATATATATATATATATATATATATATGACCAGGAGATTGTGTTAAGCATGAAACAGACTGTTAGCATTTAGTATTGACCTCAGTGTCCACTTTTTATATTTACACATGCTCTATCCCAGATATTGCACTTCACCCATAAATATAGCATCCCATAAAACCATATTTTTATCATATACACAAAACACACATTATATATACATACATACATACATACATATATATATATATATATATATATATATATATATATATATATATATATATATATATATATAAAAAAAAAGAAAGAACAGTAAGATATAAAATCCGGTGTTCTTATAGATATTTTATTTTACAAAATAGTGCTCAATGTAAATTTACAGAGCATTAATATTATAAATTAATTGATTTAAAATATAGTTATTTTCTACACAGTTCCAACCATGTTTCAAAAATAGAAGCTAAAACCCTAATTTTTTTTTTCCAAAATAAAGATGAAATGGAATTAATGCATTTTTAATTTATTTGCAAAAATAAAATTGGGGTTTTAGCTTCTATTTTTGAAACATGGTTGAACTGTGTAGCGAAAATAACCATATTTTAAATCAATTAAATATATATATATATATATATATATATATATATATATATATATATATGTGTGTGTGTATATGCTGACAGTATTGATTTATTATAAGTTCATGAAAAATATATGCTATATCTCGAGATTCTCAAGAAAATCCAATGAAGTGTCTGTAATTTAATCAATCCTGTCCTGGCATCACAAAATCACTTTCCAATCCTCTTCATATGACTTCCCTATATCTTTTCTCGAAATGTTTTCATGTCATTTGTTCTGATGAGCTTTCCTCCTTTGTAATCTTGACTGCATGAATTCAAGCACGTACTACTAGATTGGCAACTAGCTTTTCTCTTTATACTGTTGAATTAGCTCTCAATGTAACCGTTAGTTCTTTTTTAATATTTTCTTTTCTTGCACTTCTCGCCTTTGGAACTCACTTTTGGTTTCTTGCTTTCTTGCCACCTACAATCTCCAAAAATTTAAATTCAAAATCCATTTCCTTCTTCTATGTGAATCCTGTTCTTTTATTGTCCTTTCTTCTCACTAAAGTCTTCTAATTCTCTTTCACTCCCATTATCCCCTTGAATCTTAGCTGCATTATCGACTTGCTTGGAAAGAAATGATTAAATAGAAAAAAATTAGATGAATATTCAGAATGCATTTGGGTGGTAATGAAAAGAAATCTGTGATTAGCAATGTGAAAATAATAAATAGGACTAGAGGATTCCAGAAACTGTCTGGAAAATATTCTGCTGTTCTTTAAGTCACTTTCAGAGATATTTGTTAAAATAACACAACACCCAGACCTGTCAGACCTTACCTCCAGTCCAGAATTAACTCCTTGCAACTTGTCTTTTGGAAATCTAAAATCATTATTGAAATGGAGAAGTTTTCAGACTCTGGAGAAATGCAAGTAGAATGATATGACAGCTGATGGTAGTCCCTCAAAAGAACTTTGCATGAAATCCTAAGTAGAGTATTTTGGATCAAGTAACAGAGTAATTTCTTTAGGTAGCTAAAATTTCTGGTTATAACATTTATTGATAGACTTTATATTTACACATATTTTCAGTCAGAATTTCTGGGATGTGGAGTTATCATTATTTACACTATTTATATTTGGACTGTTGTCCTCATCTTTGTTGTGTTTATCACAACATTTCAGCTATTGTTTACTCCAGCCTTACTTAGGTGTATATCAATATATACATATTTTCAGTTATTTAACTGTATATATATATATATATATATATATATATATATATATATATATATATATATATATATATATATATATATATATACAAATATTTTAATACATGACTGGATAGATACATATAAATATACAGAATAACAGAAAAATTATTAGATTTTTTTTTCTCAGGAGTTGAACCTTTTGAGAAGAATATTAGACCAAGGGAAATTGTTCTGTGTCAGGAATAAAGAAAATAAAAAGAGATTATAAGAAAGAGATGATGAATTTTCTGTTAAAGAATCAGACATTCGATTAAATTCTTTAGTCTTGGACAGATGATCTCTACCAATATGTTTTTTTTTATAGATTGCTTTCTGTGTATTTGTTTTTTTTTTCCCTATTTCCTTCTAAAACCTAAAAATAAGCTCATAAATCCTTTTTTTTTATCTAAAATTTATTTTCCTTCTTAATTTCTTTCAGCATTCATTTTTCATTTGTGCACGTGTTTATTTTTTATTGTTCACAGTCCAACTTTTAAAAAAATTCTGCAAATTTCCTTTTTTTTTGTATTTCTACAAAACACATTAAAATTACTTACTTATCTGGATCTTTTATTCATGTATATTTTGTTTACTCTGAGACGATAATATTTTTTCATCTTACTACAAACCAAAGTTAAAGTTGTATTCTAGTATGCAAAAAACATTTTTATTTTTTCCATTGTTCTCTCTTTTTTTTTTACTGTATCCTTTAATCTCAGTTTCCACATTGCTCTTTCCTTCTCTTTCTGTCTTTTTCATTCACCTCTCCTTTCTTGTTTTAATCTTTCTTTCTGGTTTTCCTACTTTGTTCATTATTTTTTTTCTTTTTTCTTCATGTCACTAAGTAGAATATTCTTTTTCTTCAACTTCTTATTCTTTCTTGCAATCATTTTGAGCTTATTTCTCACATTTTTTTTCTTTCGTTCATTCTGTTTTCTTTCTTTTCATTTTATTTTTTCATTTCTTTCTTATATTTTCACTTTTATGCTTTTCTTTCTTTCTTTCTTTCTTTCCTTCTTTCTTTCTTTCTTTCTAATTCACTTTTTCACTTCTTCCTTTCTTCAACATTCTGTTTTTTCTTTTTCTTTTTCATTCACTCTGATTCTCTCTTTTCATATTCATTCTACTTCTTTCTTTCTTCCTCATTCACTCTCTCTAATCACTGCTTCTTTCTTTCTTTTATCTTTCTTATTCGTTCTAATTTTCTTTTTTTATTTCTCGTTCACTCTGCTTTCTTTCTTCATCATTCATTTTCCTTCTTTCTTCCTCATTTATTCTCTATCTTTTTTAATCACTGTGCCTTTCTTTATTTTATCTTTCTCATTCACTCTTTTTATTTCACGTCCTCTCTGCTTCATTTTTTCTTATTCATTCTCTTTCTTTCTTCCTCATATACTCTGCTTCTTTTTTCTTTTGTGTTTTCTTATTCACTCTATTCCTTATTCTATTTTTTCTTTTTTATTCACTCATTTCTCTTCTTTTCTAATATTTCATGTCACTGCCAACATAAACTGCCACTTTTGTCTTTAAACTTTTTTTCTTGGTGCATGTCTTGAACTAAAAGACTTTTCATTTCTGTTTCCACTTTTTATTTGAGTTTAATATTTTGAATAAGTTTTTCTTGTCTCATCAAGTTCTGTATTCAAATTCCTAATTAGTCAACATCTGACTCATTTAAGACTATAAAAGTTTTTAGTTTTCATTCAATATTACTTGAAAAAATTAGATCTATTAATTAAAGAAGAACAAATTAAAAGGGTGAATATTATAATTCTTCATGAAGTTAAAACTCAATTTCTTCTGAGAATTTTTTAATAAAATATGTAAAAGTTCCAAATAAATAAGTTAATTTATTTTTTGCTTGTCTCAAACTCACCAAACTGCAACAAAAATTGGTAGATTAATGAATAAGATATAAGAATAGAGGTTTATGGAAGCAGAAAGGTAGCCATCAAGACCCTCACACATACAGAGGTATATCAATTGGATCCAAATTTGTGAAAGTATTAATAAATGTTACATTAACTAAACTCTTAAAGTTTCATGAAAGTCTACACTATCCAGTTTGATTTTGCTTCTGGTAAGATATGCAATGATGGTATATATGTCATCAAACAATTCAAAGAAATTGCTTATCTCTCTAATAGGAAACTGTATACCTGCATTGTCAACATCAAAGCAGAATGTGACCACATCAATAGAGACTTTTTCTTCTCATCCATTAGAAACAAGTTTCTAAGCTCTGAATCCACTGAATGCAACAATTTTATAGAGGAACTATAGCAATCTACAGAATCTCTCATGGCTCTCAAGGGCCCCAAGATGGTAACATTTCAAACCTCATCAGGAGTAAGGCAAGGAGGAAATGAGAGTTATAATCTATTTAATCTCTTCCTAGACTATGCTCTGCATATTTACAAACACAGATGTGACGAGATGGGCACTGATAATTTAAGCATTCCATATCACATTCCAAATGAATGTGAAAAGAGTAGACAAGGGTCATGTTTTCCTTACCAAGGCCAGTGTACTGAGGATGTTGGTGGTGGGGGTGCTATGTTGATGACATTGGTATTCATAAATGGTATAAGAATGATCTTGAACAGAAAATCAACATCCTCTAGCAAGTGTTCGGAGAAATAGAACTCAAAACTATGTTCTGGACCTACCCTGAATCCATTATAAAAACTCAGGATGTGGAATTAATAAATGCCAGAGATAATTTTGCCAAACACCACAAACTATTACTAAACCAAAACATCAACCTGAAAATTTGAGCCATCTTCTTAAATGGTCTCATCAGATTGAGACTTTCATACGGATGCCATGCGTGGCACAAAACCTGTTCAGAAATATTTAAACTCTTAGCTGTATACAATCAATTCCTAATAATAATGGTGAAAAAAAGCTTTGAGTGAGTGAAACCTGCGCGTCTTAGAAAAGATTATCCCTATTTGAACATTGTGGACTGGTGCTACAGATTCACAAATAGCAGACCAGTTACCATCCAAGGTGATAGAACCCAGTCTGTTCTGCTATTTAGCAAAAACTAGGTAGAAAAGAGATGGATTCATACCTTTCCCAATACATACAGAGGTTAGACAAAATAAGTGGAATACTTGTTAAATTCAAAGAAAATTTATTTAATATGGAGTTGGTCCTCCTTTAGCCCCAAATACAGCTTTAATACGTCTAGGAATGAAATCATACAGCTTCCTGACTTCATCCAGAGGAATTTTCAGTCATTCTTCCATTAAAACCTTCTCTAGCATTTTAAGACACAATGGTGGAGGATAGCAGCTCCTAACTTGTTGCTCCAAAATGCACCACAAATGTTCAATAATATTGATATCTTGAGATTGGAGAGGCCACTCCATGTGTTCTAGCTCACTTTCATGCTCTTCATACCAATTCTTAACCACTCGAGTGGTATGTATTGGAGCATTATCGTCTTGGAAGATGCAGTCACCATCAGGGAATAAAGTCTTGGCCATTGGATGAACATGATCTCCCAAAATGTTCAGGTAATCTTTGCTGTTGATTCTAACATGCAGGGCAACTATTGGACTGAGACATTTCCATGATATGGTGGCCACTGATCCATCTCCATGCTTCACTGTTGGAAGAAGGCAGTCAGAGTTGTAAGCTTCTTTGGGCTGCCTCCACATATAAACTCACCCTGAAGTTGGGAAAAGAGAAAAACTGGACTTGTTTGAGAATATGACTTGATTCCACTGGTCTGCAGACAAGGCATTGTGATCTCTGCGCCACTTCAACCTCTTTTGAATGTTGTCAGTGGAGAGAAGAGGTTTCCTCACAGCAGCTCTTCCAAGATATGCAGCCTTATGGAGCTTATGCTGAACAGTTTTAGTAGAAACTGAACTATTCAGATGGTCATTCAACTCAGCAATCGCTTTGGCCACATTTGTCCAATGATTTTTTGCCACATTGCATTTCAATGCACGTCAGTCCCTGTCAGTCAGTTTGCAAGTCCGGCCCGAATTGCTACAATTGCTAGAGGTCTTGCCCTGTTTCTCAAATTGCATCAGTGTTCTTGATAAGGTAGCTCTTGAAAAACCAAACAGTTCAGCAACCTTAGTGATCAAGGCTCCTGCCATGCGAGCTCCAACAATTTGCTTTTTTTTGAACTTGGAGAGGTCAAGCATTTAGCTTAAATTTTACTAAATTCTAAAAATAAATAATCCAAAGGCAGTAAATTAGATAAATAAACGTATTTACAATAGATATAACCAGCAATTACAAAATTTTAGTTAAAGTTCTTAATATAATAGGTCTTTTAAATATAGGATTGGATTTTGCAACTGTTCCAATTATTTTGTCCAACCACTGTATGTGAAAATAATGAACTCAACTGTAATTTGAACGCAGGTCTCCAATTCCACCATTTGAGGTGCTATCCACTACTCCACCATGTCTCAATATGGAGATATGGATGCACAGTGGAGTAATATATATATATATATATATATATATATATATATATATATATATTACTGCTTATTATATATATATTATCTGCTTACACAGATACCAGAAATTAGCAATACAACATTGCTTCAAAATATTACAAAACAAATGGGTTGTATTAAAAAATAATTTACAATGTTTTACATTGTAAATGACATAGTATTTTCTCCATTTACAACTGGGTGACATGTCTCCATGCATAAACTTATTAAGAAGATATTTATCACTTCAATTGCAGGTTATAATCAATGAGACATTTTTTTTTTATTCATGGAATTTAGTTATAAATGGCAACACGTGTTTAAATGCTGAAAAAAACCATCCTTAGTTAAAACTCCCTCTCATTGCTAACAATTTATTTTTTAAAATTTTGAAGCAGCCATGTTTTTTACTGATTCAAGAAAAAACACTCTATTTTATTTCTTTTATGGAGAGATATTCACAGACTTAAAACTACTCTAGTAAGTGTAGAGATTTACCATTCCAGTAGAAGATTCTACAATATACATTGAAATAGATATTTCTACTAACATGAACTTTAATAGATATCAATTTAGATTAAACTCATAATGGGAGGTGCTAGGCAAGGAAAAGAATATTTCCTATGCATTTCCCCAATTATTGGCATTATCATATCCATGATTTTCCCCATTATTGGCATTGTTATATCCATAAACCTTAATACATGGACAGAACAGAATAGCTGAAAGAAAAGGAATTATAAACATGCTTTGTTCTCAAAGAGATTTTTGTACTACTAAATCATACAGAAAACAATATACAAATATTTACACTTGTCCCACACAGAAAAGATATAAAATATGTATGCAACAACAGGCAGTATGAAAGTGTGAAAGAGACAGAGTCTTACTTTGTATAATTCCCAAGAGATATTTGAGTTGCTGGAGAATTCTTCTATGTTTCTGGGGAAGGCATATTTTTATTTACCGCCTGGGAATACAAATGGGCCAGATATATCTTCCATGTCTCTGGTGAGGACATATTTTCCAATGAGAAAATTATGAGTCATGAATATTTCTCAACGAAAAGACTGTGAACCAGAGATAGTTTCTATAATTTGAGCAAACTGGATTTATCTTCTAGTTTTTTCATAAGGGCATATTTCCCAATGGCAAAAATAGCCCTATGGGTTTATATGCTGTCCTAGACAGAAGGTTTTGTTCTGCCCATGCTTAAAAAGCATCTTGTTGGTTTGACTCCAGGAGACTAACTAAAAGACTGGCCACTTTTGTCACTTTATGAACAGACATTAATAAGCAGTTGTCACATATGCATTGTGACTTCATCTAAACCAAAGGGAGATAATCTTTTGTATCCTTACACACATATTCTTTGTATTTCTCTTAAATTTATAGTAATTTATTAGGGTATGAAATCTCTGATTTTGAAACTGTGGAGAAAGGAACAGAAAACCACTATATTTCTCATGAATTCTTAGCAATTTACAGGAAATGAATAATAGGAATCTATGGAGAGTTTTACTGATTTGTTTTTTATGACTTATCAACCCTTTTTGATTATTTATTCTTAAGGAATTGTAAAAAAATTGTGGAGAGTCATGATTACCTATGTCCTGAAGGGTCATGGCATTTTTTTTAAGTAGTAAAATTGTTATTTTATAGAAGAATAAAACAGATTAAGTTTCATGCAAGAATTCTTCTTCTCTGTGTCATATGTCTTCAGGATGTTGTTGATAATGGCTCTCTACAACTTCCTATTCTTTGTAGCTCTTAGTCAAGTTTATCTTTTTGCTATCTCTCCTAATCGCTGTTCTGCCAACTCTTTACACAAACTTGTTAGGTTATTTGTTGGTTTCCTTTGTCCCTTTTGCCCATAATATGTTCTATGAGTATCAATTTCTCCAAGCCTGCTTTCTCCATTATGTGCCCTAGAAATTTCTGCTACCTCTTTCAGGTTTCAAGTATAAGTGCCATTTTTGTTCTAATTATCCTCAAACCTCATCATAGTTCCTGTATTCAGTTCAACTTACTCTCAGCATCCTTCTGTAGAACCACATTTCT